ACCCCAACCCCCCCCCCCCCCCAGTATTCTCAAGATTTATAATCCAACAGATAGAAAACCAGCTTTTCCCAGTTCAGGAAGAAAAAACAAAACAGGAGCAAAGAATAGGTCCACATTAAAAAAATAGAGAAGGGGGGGGGAGTGGGCTTTAAACACTGTCTCTCACTTCCCTGCCCTTCCTCTGAATTTTCTTCTGTGAAGATATTTATTACAGCCAGACAGGGAGGGAAGAACTTAGTTGTAACTCACAGTTTTGAGAAGATTGTAGGCAGATTCTCTTCTTTTTATCATTTAATTGCTCTGTAGCACACAGCTAAAAGCCAAAACGGTGTACGAATTGGGGGAATGAGGTTATCTCCGGATCACTCTCCCTCAGACTAACCAAGAGGAGTGACCCAAAAAAGCACCCCACTGACTTCAGAGACCCCCTCCAGGAGCCTCCTTGGGTCTAGAATCCTCTAGACCCACTCAAAATGGGCCAGTTCGGTATGTCTCTGGAGCTTCTCAGAGACACAGCCGACAGTGCTGCTCTGCACCGTCATTTTTGTCACTTGTTTTCCCCTACTGCTTTGGGTTCCTGCCCCTTTTCCACATGTGTTTGGCTCCCTCTGGGACTACTAGAGAGAGCAAAACACATTGGGGGGGACGGGACCCTGAAGCAATAGGGACAAATGAGTGACAAAAATGACTGTGCAGAAGTGACCACAGTGGGAGAACAGCTACACAGAGCACAAGCTCAGTACACAGCACTTTCAGCTGTTTTTGTCACTGCTGCTCATTCTCCTAGGTCCAGTGTGGCTGGGCAAGACTTCACAATCCTGCTGAGGCCCAGCTAAGGGGAAGCAGGCAAATCTTGCTGACATAAGCAAGTGACTTCACCTTTACCCCATTCTCATCCCACCCATAAGGACAAAAAAGAAGCACTCTACAAGTCAGGAAGCCCAACTTCAGGTTACACCCATTGGTGCTAAGCATCCCTTGCTCACATATAATGGTTTCTTGAATCCAACGGAGTATTCATAATAGTGCACTATTGTGCTGTGTGATTTCGGGGGGTGTGGGGGCTGCAGAGGAAAATCTTTTCCCAGCAGAATGGGCAGTTTCTGAAGGATCTCCTCATATGAGCCTGCTTTCATTTCTATTCCTGAGACAATAAATTTGGTGGACTTCAAATTACTATCTTGCCCTGAAATACACTGGGATATTGGATCTTTCAATGGCTCTGATTCTGTGGAATGAGCTGGGTAACACCATAAAAACATAAATAAGAATTAAAGCATTCTTGCTATAATGAGAGTATTTTGAGTCTCTTCTGTCCTTTTCTACCAAATAAGATCCCTAAGATGGCCACCAAGACATTAAAAAAACTGCCAACATTAAAACAGCGTTTAAAATAAAGTGTACATATATTAAATAACAATAAAAACATAAACACACACACATAACACTGCTACCAGGGAGAAAAGCCAATAACAATTATTGGGGGTATGTCAAACACAACAAGAACAATCTCCACTTGCTGGCAGAAGACAATGATAGAGGGAGACATAAATCTTGCTGAGGACAGAGCTCCAAAGTTCTGGTGCCACAACCCAGGAGGCCCTTTCTTGGCTAGTCACCTTTCCAGCATCAGTTGTCAGGGGCACCCGAAGCAGGTCCTCTGAAAATGATTGGAGGGGATGGATAGATTCATATGGGAGAAGGCAGTACTTTAGATATGCTGGCCCAAAGCCATACAACACTTTAAAGGTCAATTAACAGCACCCTGAATTGAGCCCAGAAGCAAATTGAGAGCCATTATAGATGGAAGAAGACTGGAGTTATATGGTCTGTATGACCCACTCTATTCAACATTCTAGTTGCAGCATTCTATACCAACTGGAGCTACAAGGCAGTCTTCAAAGGCAGCCCCACATAGAACACATTGGTGTCATCTAACCCAGATGTTACCAGGGAATGCACCACATTGGCAATGCACCACATTTGATATAGTGCCACTTTGTAGAACCATTTGATATAGTGCCACTTTGTAGAACCATTTACAGTGTAATTTTGGTGTCACAGGCACTGCTCTTCAGTGGCTTCATTTTTCCTGTCAAAGGGACAGCTAAATACTACCCTGAGAAAGCTGGAGCTGACATTTTGGGAACTGTACTTCGTATACATGCAAATAAAATTTGCCATATGGGGAGGTGATGGTGGAAAAGCAGCCAACACCCCCAGCACATCAAGCTCACAGGTTCCATCCTCCCCCTTTGCTACAAAAGATCTAGGATAGAAGACGAACAGTAACCTTTACAAAGCTTAGATTTTTTTAAAAAAAAAAATCTTTTGACTGTGGGTGATCCGTAATTATTTTCTTGGCAGTTACTACTATACAGCTAGGGTCAACTGTTTGCTTGTAAAACTGCAGTACATAGCTTACTTTGAGAGATTACACAAGAACACCTGGAAATGTGCAATTCTTGATTTGTACAACTACAAGGGCCCTGGCACAATATCTGTTGAACATGATGAGAGGGCAAGCCAATGGTGTTCCCATGTGACATTATAAGCTTTCAGAATCATCAAAGCATACAAAAAAAATGGTATCGTTTCCAGGTCTTTTTTTCTTTAAGTTGACATATTTGCTTATCTAAACACAAGGAAAGTCAGAAGTCTGGGGAAATATATAAAAGGAACAATGAAATCCATTACTCATTCTGGGGAGCAGGTGTGCACAGCCTTACCTGATCTGTCCTCGCACCAGGGGTCTGTTTTTTGTCCTGTTCATATTCGAGTCAAATGGAACCTCAAAGAACTGCAGAAAAAAGTAAGAAAGATGACTTTAAGGGAAGAAGAAGAAGAGACTGGATGTATACACCGTCCTTCACTTGGAGTTTCAGAGCGACTTACAATCTCCTTCCATTCCTTTTCCCACAACAGATACCCTGTGAGGTATGTGGGGCTGAGAGAGCTCTCAGAGAACTGCTTGAGAGAACAGCTCTGTGAGAACTGTGGCTGACCCAAGGTCACCCAGCAGCTGCATGTGGAGGAGTGGGGAATCAAACTCAGTTCTCCTAGTTTAGAGTCTGTGTACTTAACCACTTAACAGCATTCCATGCGCCTTGGTGTTTAGTCATGCCGGCCACATGACCAAGAAAACGTCTTTGGACAGCGCTGGCTCTTCGGCTTTGAAACGGAGATGAGCACCGCAACCCTAGAGTCGGAATCGACTGGCTTTCGGGCAAGGGAACCTTTACCTTTACTTAACCACTACACCAGACTAGCCAGAGACCATCCATACCATAGAACAGACTGACTGTTTTTGCAGATGCTTTGGTCTTCATTTGAGATGATCCAAAGGGCAACTGAAACAGCAAACTATTTCACAGTCATTTTGAAAGTCAACATTAAACCTTTTGGTTTTTCCTTAAAAGGGGGGGGGGGCTACCCACGGTACAATTTTATTTTTGAACAAGTTCTCTAGTCAGTCATTTGAAGTAACCTCTCCTCCTTCCAAGTTCTATCCTTGACATATTTGGCATGGCTTCCTTCTGCACTCAAGTCTTTAGTACTGAATAATTATAGCAAATCACATGGTCCTCATTCAAAAATTTCATTCTAAATGTTTACAAGAACACCCAGCTTTGGAAACCCATCACCCAACCAAGAATCAATCAAACTGGAAAAGTGCTACTGCAACTGAATTAGAAGATATTCATTTGGAATTATGCAGCACAGGCTGGGGAATCACGGGGGGGGGGGGGCAGAGAAACAGTTTGGAAATCCTTTACCACTGAAATTTAGGTCAATTACCCATCCTCCTTTGGGCTTTAACTATCATTCATTTACTGTCAACATTCCATCCCTCATGGAACATGTTTAGGCCTTGACACACTGTTTTCTACCTCCCCCCTTTTAGTTAATTTACAAAGCTATATTTTTCTGCATATTTAGAAAGTCCACTGAGTAGGCAATGAGTGCTCAACTTTTATTCTCAACAGAGACGCCAAACAGTTTTGTATTAGATATAGTGATGACACCTCAGCTCAACTTTAAATGTTGCCCATGTGAAGAATTCTGTCATAATGTGAGCTCCTCCTCCCTACTCAGCTTTATGAGAGAAGCTATACACATACATACACTACATATTAAAACAAAAATGTGTGACAGAGAATAAGTCTCCAATATTGTTTTAATACACAAATGACAGAGTAATCAGCAACTTGTCAGTAGCCTTCAGTGGGCATCAACCTCTGTCTAAAGAATTAAATCTTCATATGAGCTTCTAGTGTGACCATGTGGCCAACAAGAGCAGCAGAAGACCTAAAACAAGGAACAATATCTTATTTTGTGATGTTTAAAAGTAGCAGAAGGCAAAACCAGCTTTCACAGTAAGAAGCTGTCATCAGCTGCTGACAGCAGCAAATAGCACAACAATATCAACTACTTGCTGCCTTGCTGCTAGGCAGCACAACCAAATTAATACATAACAAACAAAAAAAACCCTATGCACAACGCACAATAACTATTAAAATGCAACAGAGACAGCAGGGCTTGTGGGTGTAGGAACCTGCAGCAAACAGATGTGTGGCAGGTGTTCAATATTGTGGTTTTCAGAGTACTGTGGAAGCAGAGTGTGGGCTTGACAATTTATGGGGGATTGAGAGAGAAGAGACTTAAAATGTGTGAATCCATTCCTGGTTGAAGGCAGTAATTTTACAGTAGATAGAATGGTGTCTAGTGCTACCCAGAAATAAAACAGGGCTGGCTACAGAGCCATCTAATGAAGGGAAGGCCCATGGAGCACATGACAAGAGAAGGGATAGAAGGAAAACACTCCTAAACAAGGCCCTTGGCCATGCCCCCAGTGCCCATGCAGCCCATCAGTGTCACCTTGACAGCAGAGAGCGAGTGAAAGGAAATGGCTGGAACCATTTGGATGATGGTAACAAGGACAAGATCTGCCAAACCCTAAAAGTAACTGAGGCCAAGAGGAAGAGGTTGGTTAACCTACAATCGCCTTGACAGTGGGGCAACTGCCCCCCTCCCCTACATTGACAGAGACTACCACCAGACAGCTCCAAAACAAGGCCCTGTGCCTGGTAAGCAATGCCTTCTCAGCTGAATGTGAGATAGGCAAAGGCTGCATCCACCATGACAGTGGTGTTCACAAGGGAGGGGTTGGCCAGGGCCTGGTGAATAAAGGAGAAGCCCTTTCGGACAAGAAGAGCTATGACACACTGAAGCAAGAAACAGGCAAGACAAGGATTGGCTCGAAGCCTAGTCCCCCCCAATAAAACAAACACCCAAACCTGACCCATTCTGTGGCCACTTTGGAGAAAACAGATCGTAACCAGAAGGGGTGGCTCCAAATGGAACCAAGAACAACATCCAACTCCCAGAAAGGGTTGGCCCAACCATGTGTACACTGCTATCCTCCTGTAGCCATCTTTGATTGGGGAGCCCATGCCCTTGCCATGGGTGCGAGTGGAAGGGGGTGCCTTAGGACTCAGGGCAGTAGAACGAATGGAAGCCCCCTCCCAACTTCATCCCCTGTATGCCACCTGGCTCTGGCTTGTGGCTGGCACAAGACGGATGGTCATTGGTGGTGACCCCCAGCAACATCCTGGAAGGATCATTCTGTGCCAGTGGCCAGCTGTCAGCTTGGCAGCAGAGAGAGGGCCTCTGATTCTCCACTGGAATCCATGACCAGCCTGAATAACAAGACATTCCTTGGTGAGCCAGTGCCCAGGAACACTTGGTCTTTGCTGTCACCTTGCCAGTGGGCTGAGACAAAAGGGGCCATCTAACAAGGGGAAAGACCCCCAGACACATGGAGCCCTGCCAAACATGGCACTCGTACATGCCCCCAGTGCCCACGCAGCCCGTCAGTGTCACCTTGACAGTGAAGAGTGCATGAAAGGGGATGGCTTGAGCCCGGGGATGATGATGGTGATGACGAGGAAGACCTGCCAGCCAACCTCTGAATGAGGGGGAAAGACTGGCTAACCAGCAATCAATCACCTTGACACTGTCACGAGCGAAGGACAATAGCTGTAGAGCCCTCCCCCCCAACATCAACACAATGACAGCTTCCAACCTGCTCCACATCAAGGCCCTTGCTCCCACCTGGTGCTGTAAGCATCATCTTTATAGCAGAGTGAGAGATGGGATTGCTGCAGCCACCATGCCAGTAGTGCATGAGAGGGATTCGCCAGGGCCCAGGGAATAAAGGAAAGGCCCTCTCAAATGAGAAGAGCCACCAAATCCCAAAACTAGCACCGCGTGTTGATGTGCTGCCTTGTAAATCCCAGGCCATCGCAGGCTAGGAGGCTGCCACAGTGCCCCATGCTTGTTGATGTAATCACTCGCACCACCACAAAGGGTCTCTGGCATGCACTGCATGTTCTTGCCAGTGGACTGATAGTGAAGGCCTGTTAATCGCCCCGCCTGCAAAAGGTGGGGGTGGCTGGTGGCCAGGAGTTGCAAATGGAGGTAGCCTGGAGTCAGGGCCCAAAGGGAGTGGAGAGACAAAGAGAGAAAAAAGGGAAACAGAAAGAACACACAAACTCCAGGACTAGGCCCTGGGGAAAGAGTCTGGCCATGTGGTAACAGCAATCACCTTGACAGCAAGGCCAGTTAGATCCTGTCCCCTAGAGTGCCGCCACACGAGCAAACACTCAAAGCACAGGGACAGGGAATGGAAGATTTTTTTCACTTACCGTGAAGCTTCCTTTCTCGGTGGTTCAGGAGTGGGACAGTCCATATGGTTGGGATAAGCTCCTCCTCCAATAGTAGGGTTGGCTCCAAGCTTTGATCCAGGTGGGGAGGGGCTTATCCCCTGGAGGCTTCCCAGTCATACACAAGCCCGCTGTACCCCATCTGGACACCACTAGAAGGAAGAACACCTCTCCAAACCAGAGAGACTAACCTAATTATTAACTAACATGAGCAAATTAACACCCACCAACTAACTAGTGTTATTCTGAGAGTTGAAAAACCCTCCAAAGGAGAATACTTAGAAATAACTCCCTTACTTAGCACTGCCTGTGAGACCTCTCAGACCAGACTTCAAACCTTGCAACACCCACTGCAAATGTGACAGGAAAAACCCACCACAAACTGGGCGAGCCGGACTGTCCCACTCCTGAACCACCGAGAAAGGAAGCTTCACAGTAAGTGAAAAAAATCTTCCATTCTCCAGTGGTTCAGTTAGTGGGACACTCCAAACGGTTGGGACATAAAAAAGCAACCCCAAGGGAGGGAACTTACGCCAAACAGTTTACAGGGCATGTTGCAAGACCCTATGGCTGAATGCTGCCTCTGCTGATGCCAATTTGTCCACCCTATAGTGTCTGGTGAAGGAATGGACCGAACTGCAAGTGGTTGCTCTACAGATCATCTCCAATGAAAGAAACGATTGAGATGCTACTGAAGTAGCCACCCCCCTTAAGGAGTGAGCTACTATCCCCTCCGGAGGCTCCAAACCTTTGGCTCTATATGCCAGGATAATGCAGCCCTTGATCCATCTACTAAAGGTAGAAGTGGATACCTGCTCCCCCATCAAGGATTTTCTGAAGGACACGAAAAGAGATTCTGATTTCCTAAACCAGAGGAGCCAGAGGAGCGATCCCTGGTGGCCTGTAACAAGAACACCAGGGCAGCTGTCGTTGGCGGAGGTGGAAGCAAGCGATGACGTCATCTGAAGGCGCGGCGGAGCCTGTAGGACACAGCCGAGGCCTAAGAGAGACGGGAGTCGCGGACTAGAAGCTGACCCACCTGAGCGCCAAAAAAAGAGAATCCCGCTGATGAGAC